CAGCTGGAAGACCACAAGGACTGGAACGCACGTGCTCGGTGTTCTCCTGTTAAGCCCCGATTCAGACAGCGAATTAGCGCTTTCTTGCCGACTTGTCCAAATCGTGCAACACCCCCAAAGGAAGCCCTAGTTGCATTTATATATGATATTCTTCACACTGGGTTTTAGAAGAATGATAGTAACTGAAGACTCATGGGAACTTCCGAAGTATCCATGGTGTGCCTTGAATGCCACTACGTCAAAAAATACACGGAACCAGGAAAAGGATAAAGAAGTAAATGTGCAAAATTTATTATGTTCTTCAATGAACACAGGGGCATAGAAGTTATAAAATTAGATCACATCTTCAAAATTAAAAAAATAATTATGTAGAAACACCGACAGTTGCCCGTTACAATAAAAAGCAGCCCACTTGAAGCTTACCACCAGTTTGCTCTAAATCAATTTCTTCATAAAAAATGAGGTATCTTTAAAAAATTACTTCATAAGAAGAAACTGGTATGCAAACTGAAACATTATTGCAGCATATCCCTATAATCTGTACAAAGACAAGTCTGTTGGCAAAATGAGACTACGCTGAAAGAGCTTTGAATGACGAGCACCCTCACCATGCTGTTAAAAGGCATTTTCTACATTCAGCCTGGGTCCTTCTAATTACAGAAACAAGCTTCTTCCTTGTCAACAGAAATTCATGCTTCCAAATTAAATTAGAAGTAAATATTTTATACTTCTGGCTACCCAGCCATGGGGAAAAAAGTGATCTAGAATATGCCTCTTAACATGCCTCATGATTAAAGTAAGGGTATGATTAATTTCTTCTTGCAGAGTACATTTAGCTTGGGCATTTGTTACTTTTTATCCTAAATACAGTGCAAAACAATCTGACCCAACCTCTATTTACAACGAGCTTCCACTATGAAATTCTGAGGTGAAGCAAACCTCCTTCCTGCCTTTCCCCTCCCCACCCCTGCCCAGGTTACTGAGCGCTGCGGGAGGCGAGCACCCTGATGCAGGGACGCAGCGACACGAACAAGCAAGGCGGCGCTGGGAACACCTCGCGACCGCTGGCCACAAGGAATTCCACACGGAGGCTCAGAGGAGCCACCTCACCAAGGCTACTGTTGGTCTCTTTGTATCTTTTGCTCTGCGTGTGCTCAGACAAAAAGCCCTGAGGGGCTGGAAGAGAATGTCAGGAAAGTTCTTACAGTTGTATCCCACATCAATTTCCTTCTGCCTGTGTAAACACGGTAAGGTTCAATACTGGAATGTAAGGCTTCTGTCACAGTACACTTTGGCATTCGACACAAACCTCTGAGATAGCGAGACACTCTCTTGTGAAACAGAGGCGGCTTCTGCTGAGGTCATCAGGTTCAAGTGTACAAAGCATACGGATCTGCTCCTCTTTACGCAGAGGCTATGATTTGCCGTAAGATGAAGCATCAGCCAAAAGTGGTGTAAGGTACGAGGAGCCCGCCGTGTTTCAACTTCAGCCAGCTTGCAGCAGAGAGGGTATGTCGCTTTCTGCTCCCAAAGTGCGGATTTGGAAACCTGAAGACAAAGGCCCCCAAGTCACACTGTCTTCCTTAGGTTGCAGCTTTCATATAAAAATACTTTCAAGTGTTTATTATGCTGCCAGTCCCACGTAGGGATTTTATTTTCCTAAAAGTTATACTATCTCCTTTTCTTCTGATGCCTTGCTCCCTGAAGTATCGTCATCGTTAGAATAATTTCCTGAATCTCGACTGCTCTGTTTAGAATGTTTGTAGTCTTTAAAATCAATGTGATTCACTTCTGTGAGGACAGTCTCAATTATAGAACAAATTTCTGTTGGTTCTTCTGTAGTTGACAGATAAGGCCTGATAAAGGGCTGTCCTGCAAAACCCTGCCAGGAGAGAAGCAGAAAGAGGTGAACACTCATACATAACACCTAAAGAACGATTCTGTTTCACACCACAGCTGTACCAATCCGCTTTATCGCATTCAGTAGCATCATGAGGTTTTCTACCTGTAAGACGCCGTTTCCCTAAGTTCACACACTCCAAGTTAGGATGAAGTTTAGTTGCATTCATATAACTGAGCACTAAAGAATGACTAACATGTATCTTAACTCTTTTGTTATGCTCAAGGTTGTCAATAACTGCAGTATTTCATTGATTATAGCCTTATGAGGCCACTCGAGCCTAAGTGAGACACTTCCAAAGACCACGTGGTAGCACGGGGATGACAGGTGTGTGTTTGCAAAGTCATCGCATTACCAGTTACGAAGGGGGAAGGAAGAAAAAAAGAGTGAGCTGCTGCAGTAGGAGGCTGAGCCTTACGCAGCTCTCAGCAGTGCGCTGCTGTCTACCCTACATGCTTTAAATGACCACTTTGGAGAACAGGTTTATGTCAAATCCATCACAAAAGACTCTCAATAGGCATTGCCTTAATTATGTTACCAGTAGTCTACTGAACAAAACAGCTGAAATGCTGCCTTACAAACAAATTCAATTCCAATCAAGCTTTGTAAACTACAGAACTGGTTTTAAATTACAACTTTATTCAGAAAGCTTTGTATGCCGTGTATCCCGAGAGCTTCCGTGAGATGACGATGCACTTTAGGAAGGCCATATGCTCCTCAAGCTCAGTCTTCTGAGCGACACAGAAGAAAGCACAGTAAAAAGCAGTTCTTGCTACATTTCAAAACATACCCACACTTACGTGTTGCCCTGTTCATTCCAGAACAGGATCTCTACACTGAGTATGACCTGTGCCAAGCTGAGCTGGACATCCGCCCTTCCTGAGGCCATCCCGACCTGTGCCAAGCTGAGCTGGAAATCAGACATCCGCCCTTCCTGAGGCCATCCAGGCACTAGGTCAGGAGATGGTAGAAGCATTTGCTGCCTGCTACACCAAATTCTCCTCTAAAGACTGGGTTTGCAATTTCACCTCCTCCAAGTTTTAAAGGGTGACAAAAAGGCTAGAGCACATTCTTCCAGATTACCCAACGGGAAAACATTGCTGGGACCACAAAGCAGCGCAAAAGTACATTATGACACTGGGTAGACACATGCGCTCTCTGGAATGAAGGATCATTATCAACGCCTTTGCAGGCACAGGAGAGAAAATATAGAAGTTAAAATATTTGTTAATTGCAGAATTCTAGAAATTGATACTACCTATGTTTTCCATAGAAATTCTTGCACGTCATTAAAACCTACACAATTAATCTTGGCATACCCATAAGACCGCAGGATAACAGATAAACACTTTTTCATCATATTTTCTCTTCATTTTTCAAAAACACATTTGTTTAATGAATGAGAAAAATAAAACTCGTCTTACCTCTATGTTCAAAGGAGGGTGGCATGATGGAAAGAACACATATTTGATCTTATTGTAGGCTTGATACAGGGCAAAAACAAGCAGAGTAGCCACAAGCAAGACGACAATCAGGGCAGTTACAAATGTTGCTAAAATGATCAGAGGTAAAATTTTATCTAAAAAAGTGAACAAAACCCATTCAGTCTAGGTATTCATTAACTACAAAGATTAAAGAACATATTATCTCCAGATCTGCTGCAGTATTTATCATAAAACTTCACATTTCTACAGTACTATACCTAGCCATGACGATCACTATAACGATGATGCCATTCCAATATCATCAATAATTTTATTAAAAACACAGCACAAAACATTTACCCAATATAAGAACAGAGGCATTTACCAACAGGATCATAACCAAGATCCAGTTATTCCCAGTTACATTCCAGTTACATGTCACTACTTGACAGCAGCACAAAAAGGCTGCACATAGACAGCTACCGGGAAGCACTCGATCCACGTAAATATATTGTGCTATAGCTTGTGCACAGGCTCTAACCCCAAGGAACATACTACGTAATTGATAGAGCTCTATAAAAAGGCAGTGATACAAGAGTAAGAATTCCCATGGGCTATGCAGTAGGAATGGGAAATTACTATAGAGAAGCTGGCCCATGGTTCTTTGGCCAGGAAATTATTAGTGTCTAGACTTGCAGGGTCTTCAGGGGCCCAAAAGTATCCCAATGGTTTCTTGGACAGGAGAGGAACTCCAGTTGTAAGCTTCAGATGACTACAACATCGCTAACAGGGAGAAAAAGGATCTTCTTCTTCTATCTACTCTGTTCAGATGCTTCTTTAAGAAATCAATCCTAAGGATATGCCAGTTCCTCTACACTGGTAGTTTAGATCCCAGCTCTATGCTGACAAAGTAAAACCTCATGCTGGAAGGCGACATGACTGGAGTTCGGTGATCAAACCTGGTGCCATCAACTTGACACCAAGCTGAGTGGTGCAGCTGATTCACTAGAGGGAACAGACACGGTCCAGAAGGACCCTGACAGGCTTGAGGAGTGGGCCCATGGGCCAAGTGCAAGGTCCTGCATGGAAATTGGGGCAATCCCCAGTATCAATTCAGGCTGGGGGATGAAGGGATTTAGAGCAGCCCTGCCAAGAAGGACTTGGGGATACCAGTGGATGAAAAACTGGACATGAACTGGCAATGTGTACTTGCAATCAACTGTATCCTGGGCTACGTCAAAAGAAGCATGGCCAGCGAGTTGAGGGAGGAGATTTTTCTGCTCTGCTCCACTCAGACCCCAGCTGGAGTCCTCTGTCCAGCTCTGGGGCCTCCAGCACAAGACAAACATGAACCTGTCTGTCCATGAGGAAAGCCACAAAAACGGTCAGAGGATTGCAACACCTCTTTGGGGAAGCCAGGCCAAGAGAGTTGGGGTTATGCAACCTAGAGAGAAGGCTCCGGGAGACCTTCTAGCACCTTCCAGTACCTGAAGGGGCCTACAAGGAAGCTGGGGGGGTTTTTTTTAAAAGAGCCTGTAGTGACAGGACAAGGGGTAAGAGGTTTAAATTGAAAGAGGGCAGATCCAGATTTGATATCAGGAAGAAATTCTTCACAGAGAGGGTGGTGAGGCACTGGAACAGGTTGCCCAGAGAAGCTGTGGATGCCCCATCCCTGGAATTTCTCAAGGCCAGGCTGGATGAGGCTTTGAGCAACCTGGTCTAGTGGAAGGTGTCCCTGCCCATGGCAGGGGGGTTGGAACTAGATGTTCCTTAAGGTCCCTTCCAACCCAAACCTTTCAATGGTTCTATTGTCCCGTATTCCTGTATTAACCCAGGAACTGTGCAAAGCCTTCTAACAGGCTAGGCTCAGTTGCAGGACTTCAGGTTGGGACCTTATGGTAGAAGGAGTTTACATGACAGAATTCAGCTTCTGATAGTAAAATATAGTAGTCAAAGAAACCCTTTATCTGTATAGTTATAAGCTATTCAGTGCCTAAGATCAAGAAACTTGCAAGGTTCCTTCTCCCCTCCTCTCTTCTCCTTTGCAACATATCCTCTGGCACTATCTCTAACAAACAGACTGAAAGGAGTTTGAACATACTAAAATTAATGCATACAAGGACACACTTTACAAATAGTCAAGATGAGACAATCGGGTCTTTTTATCTCTATTTCCAGTTAGTACCAAAGATCAAAGAATGGAAGATTTTCACACTGCGATATAAGAACATATGGCAAGTACAGGGTGATCTGTATGACTGCATCCCTCTCTCTATAGAGAGTCTTGAATGTACTGCTTGGTCTTAAACAGGCTCACGGCAATAGAAGGCTATGGGGAAGACTACTTACTGACTAGTAAAACAGAACAAAGTTTCTCGTGTGAAGGTAAAAAAGTAACACTTGTTTCTTTTTAGGATTCACAGATTCACAGAGTGGTAGGAGTTGGAAGAGACCTGTAGAGATCACCTAGTCCAACCCTCTGCCAGATTGATGAAGACAAAGCAGCCAGGACTACAGTATAAATGAATCCTAAAAACTTAAGATGTGAGAAAGAAGCATTACTATTATTACATTTCTTAAGTCAGTATGGATATTTAGTATTTTTTTTTCTAGTGTCACAGCCTGTTAATGGAAGATGATTAGTCAAATTCAATCCAACGGATAACTTGCTCTTATGTTCTGAATGAGTGTAATCCACCTACAAATGTATTCTCATTTTGCACAAAGGTGAACTTTCAGCTATAATGTCTGGTGATTTGTCCTCTCTCACATTTTAAAAAGTCCTGTGCTAGAGTAGTTCATTCACAGAAGAATTAAGACAATTTCAAGAACAAAATATTCTTGAAAATAGAGCACTTAGTAATCCCTTGCACCCTCCTAAAAATACTTTGAAAGTGTTTTTAAATATTAAAGCTTACCTATTGATAAGTCATTGTACAGAACTAAGCTTAATTCACAATCATAGAAACTACCTCAGATTAGTAACTGTAAACTGAGCTGTGTCGTGGAACAACCAGAATGTAATTCTGACCAGGTGAGAGCAGCAGCAGTGTATCAGTGCAGCTACAGGAGAGAACACAGAGCAGCAGAGTGACAGGCTGCTGATACGGATCTGCCCAACTAGATGCCAACTCTGTGAGGCCATTAAGTCATGCTGCAAATATTTTTTAACTAGTGAGACCTGCAAAGGCCTATGAAGGGTTAACAGTTTGACTTCCAGGGGTGTAACAATTCCCAAGCTCTTCCTACCTCCAGGTGTTTGGATGCATTCCTCTTTGCTGTAATCACTGCTTTTGTTGTAAATTTGTGAGAATGCTTGAACTTTTACACAGTACAAAGTCGAAGGTGTTAGGTCAGAGATTGTCGCTATTGTCTGCTTTACCTCTTTCATTTTGATATCCTCCTGGAAAAGAAATATTGGAAGAGTAAGATGCACGTAAACAGTACAAAAGTCACTCAAACAGATTAGAACTTTGGCCTCTGCTGAAGTAATTCTGTAAGAGGTCAGACACTTCTGCACTTGGATTAAATAAAAGAAACCACACAACTCTCTCCTAAGCAAACACATTGAGGAAACACTTATTGTCAAGAATCAACTGCTCCTGCCACACCAAAATTTTGTGTGCAAAATTAAACTTCTAGTTGCAGGGGTTTTTTTCCTCTTCTTCCATGCATTTACGTATTTTCCATTACTGTAAAATATTTTACTAAGAAGCACTTAAAGAACATCACAGAGTCACAGAATAGTCTGGGTTGGAAGGGACCTTCAAGACCGTCAGGTTCCCACCCCCCTGCCATGGGCAGGGACAACTGAACAAAGCCTCATCCAGACTGGCCTTGAACACTTCCAGGGATGGGGCATCCACAGCTTCTCTGGGCACCCTGTTCCAGTGCCTCACCACCCTCTCCGGGAAGAACTTCTTCCTGATATCCAATCTAAACCTCCCCACTTTCAATTTAAACCCGTTACCCCTTGTCCTGTCACTACAGGCCCTTGTAAAAAGTCCCCCCCAGCTTCCTTGTAGCCCCTTCAGGTACTGGAAGGTGCTATAAGGTCTCCCCGGAGCCTTCTCTTCTCCAGGCTGAACAAGCCCAACTCTCTCAGCCTGTCCCCATAGCAGAGGTGCTCCAGCCCTTGGAGCATCTTCATGGCCTCCTCTGGACTCACTCTATTAATGGAAGCATCTATTAAAACATGAGCTAAAAACATGCAAGACTTCACTACTTTATGATACATACACCGACAAAACTGCAAATACAGAAAAAAGAATTTGAGGGGCCGGAAGGTACATTGATTAAGACAGCACACAGAATCATACCACAAGACAGTGTCACAAGAACCCTACGACTTCTATTCAGAAGCAAGCTGTTTAGCAGCTTGTAGAAAACTCAGGGCAATTGTGCAAACCATTACATATAGTCACATCAGTGGACAAAGGTTAAATTCACCATTACTTTGTGATAAAAGTTGTCTTGACCAGATTTTAAAGCAAATCTTTCAGAAAAACAAAAGCCAGAATGACTGCATAATTCACAGACCGTATATGTGCCTGTTTTGAAAATTAGGTTCTTGAGAACTCAAACTCAGTATTTAAGTTGTAACAGATTTTATATACTCTTTCATGTATTTAACTACTTCATACCTCATTATTCGAGGAATTCTTCCAATACAGAATCCGGTAAGACAAATCATAATGGTCCCTCATAACTTCACTCTCAGATCCTCCTGGAGGAGAAATCTGGATATGGAGCAAAACATCACTGATGTCCACCTTTATACCAGGAGGGCCAATTTCATCTTAAGACATTTAAAAAAAAAAAAAGTTAAAAACAAGATGAAAAGAATACGAAGAAAACTACTGCATAAAATACTGCAATTGACATCTGTGACAATTTTTAAGAAATGTAAAAGTCTAATTTGTCGAAGACCTTTATTCAGAATCTCAAGTCCTGAGAACTATTTCCATTATTTTCTCTTTCCACATTCCTGTGTTGCTTCTGCAAGCTTCAGTGACATGAAATACACAGACAGTGGGATTAACTCTGTGCAAGTTGAAATGAAACTACTGAATGCTTCTCAGTCTCAGGGTGTTTGTGCTCTTTTTTCACATGTACCCTCTTTCAAAGTTATAGAATAATTGAAGAGTGAGAAGCTATACAGCTTTTGTTTTCTTCTGTGGAATTACTTGCCTCAGTCACCATTAATTTATTAAGCAATTATCAGATTACCAAGAGCTTGGACAAGGGAAAGCTGACATACAGAACAGCTATTGATTCCATCTTCAACATGGAAAGCAATGGAATATTACCCAACATATTAAATATTTCTTGACATTTATGATGGATAAATAAGTCAAACATTTTAGTAAGGTCACATTTGTCACAAAATCAAAGAAGTGCAACAAAGAAAAATTACTATAGAATCACAGAATAGTTTGGGTTGGAAGGGACCCTAAAGCCCATCCAGTTCCAACCCCCCTGCCACGGGCAGGAACACCTTCCACTAGACCAGGTTGCTCAAAGCCTCATCCAGCCTGGCCTTGAACACTTCCAGGGATGGGATATCCACAGTTTCTCTGGGCAACCTGTTCCAGTGCCTCACACCACCCCCTCCATGAAGAACTTCTCCCTGATATCCAATCTAAATCTCCCCACTTTCAATTTAAACCTGTTACCCCTTGTCCTGTCACTACAGGCCCTTGTAAAATAATTTCCCATGAAATTAAAAACCAGTGACATTCACCAGAGTGAAATTATTAAAATACTTTGATGTCACTATCATTTAAGACTGCTTTTTCATGAAACTCTTCAGGCTTGTATGTCAATGTAATACTGCTTCAGCACAATATTCAGGGGTTCACTGTGCAGGGGTAGAGAGAAAGAAGGTGATGAGAGTACATGCACAAAAAAAGAAAACCGGTGGATTCCAAAATTATTTGACTTCAGCATCATTCTTCTAAGAAATCAGGAAGTGCTCCCTGTCAATGGCAGAAGTCAGACTAGGGATATTTCTAATACAATCTCACAGGGATTAGTGTAGCATACAATGAGATTATAAAGTGCCACATAATGCTTTGAGGCTTAATTTTGTACAGCAAATAATATTCGAAATACACTGAAATACTGGCTGTGCTGAAGAGAGATCATGGAAAAACTCCCGTTTAACTTGATGAGACAATGGATTCCCAACACAGTTTCTGTAGGGGATTCATGTATTCAGTTTCATTGATCTATCAAGTTTCTTTTTGCAAAGCGTAACATTACGTACACATAACAGCATTAGGTACATTGTTCAGAAATTAAAATTTAAGAAAACTCATTTACTTACTTGTTATCAGAGGATTTACTTTTACTTCATTAGACAAACATGATCTATTAGATTCACTCATGGCCTGGACACGGAGATAATAAAATCCAGTAGTAGTGATGATAGATGAGAAATTGCATTGTGTGACAGTGATGTTTTCACACCCATGTACGTTGAGCCACTTTGGTGAATAATCATCGTGAAGCTTCTTCAGATATCCACTGCAAGAGATATTTCATAGTTTCTGATGTGAGGTCCTTGAACTCTAAAAATAAGGCACATTCACCTATGCTACACAGTTCTTTTCTGTTTTCGGAAGAATGGGCCTCTTGGAAACTTCTCTTATTTAGAATATTTTCTCCGTTTATAACTGAAACAATGAAGTCAGCTGGGTCAGGAAATACAAACTGGTGCTTTAATCAAGCTTCAAGAGGAAAATTATACATCAGTTTTAGGAATTTGTAAAATCCAAATTAAGATTTTTTTCATATAGTTCTATTAAGTCAAAGGAATTCCAAAAGAATGCTAGAGGTTCTCTCCTCTTCATTCAGATGCCGGCCACAATAGTTGTGCGACAACTAGATGTTAAAATACAGGTTTATAGACATGATGGGGTTTTTTTCTTTGTTGGGAACTGACCATAAGTAATCAAATATGTTGACAATTGAAACCTTAAACACCTGAATTCTCTCTCACTTCTAAGTCATCTAATTTCTTCGTATCCAAGAAGGTACAAAGCGACGCAAACTACACGTCTTTTAAGAATGGTTCTTGGCATATATTTAGTAGTCCATTCCACCAGGTGTTTAACGCTCCTAAAAAAAGCCTGGTATCCTGAAATTCTACGATATGATGCTATCCTTTTAAAAGCCACATTGTCCAAAGGAGGTGCCCAATATTTCAAAGAATGCATTACGCCACTGTTGTTAGGTATTTCACTTTAACTTCTAATAGCTACTTGCAAAACATAACGGATGGCATTTGGAATGACATAACCTGTTTAAACACAGATATGGAAATGTTTAACTCACATGAGATACTGTACGTTGTAGCTCACATGCTGTTTATATGGATTATTCCAATGCAGATGAAATTTCATATTCGAAGCAAGAATGCTCACATTTGTCGCACAGAGTAGGTCATTCACTGCTCAAAATGAAAAATAAAAAGGAAACCCACAGTTACTGAAAAGCTTTGTATTATGTATATCAACTTCTCACTGTATGGGCGTTTCTCATGTGAATGGTCACGATACACTTTCGGTCATTAAAGTTGTCTGTTTTCATTATAAAAGATAGCAAATCAAAGTATGATATATACAGTATATTAAGCCTTTAGTAAAAAAAACCCAACCAGTTAAAAATCAGTTCATAAAAAAATAAGTACAGAAGTGTTGAGATTAGTAGAAATAAACTGGTTCAGCAATAACTCGATGAAAAAATGTGGAAAATACACACATGCAAACGTAAGTGATTTTGATGTACCAATGATTCAATCAATGTTTGACTTTCCACATTCTCACACTTTTTTTTTTCCCCCCAAAATAAACATTTAAAAGTACTTAAACTGACACCTGAACAGCACAAAAAAGAATTTAAATTGCAACATACAAAACAAGCAACTGGTGGCAAAGTGCCACTAACTCATTCCTCAGAATCTGTAACAATACATACACCAAGGCTTGCATAAAACCAGTGTTGTTTTAAGCTTAGCTCAACTTTACATGTATTCATTTAGTGCCAAATAGACAAAGGGCTTTTGTTTCCCCTACATACATATCCCTTTCCTCCCGATACAAAGTCAGAAATTCAAAAATATCCACTTCTCCAAAATACAGAAAATAGTTTTTGCAGTCCAAATTAACGGACAGAATTTGTCTCAGAGCACAAACCTTTTTGTGCTATTAGAACTCTAATACTGATAGGCAATATATTTTACTTTGCTTTAAGATAGAAACCATAGAGAACTCAAGATTGTTGTTATACCAAAATGAGTAGGAACTTGGCACTTGTGTATATTTCTATTGCTTTAGAACAACTTACTTTCCAACAGTTCAAACTTGAGTTATCATTTTAAGAGAAAATTATTTTACTCTGTACCTTTACGCGTAGTTTTTATACAACGAACGGGACTGAATAAGCCTTCTTTAAAGTCCAAAGGAAGAGTTGCTTGAACTTTCATACAATAGGTAGTGTCTGGTGCAAGATCGTCAATGACATGAGTAGGAAAAATACTTAGACTTCTGAACTGCAAGAAACAATTGCAAAGAGCATATGAAGATAGTTGTTCTTCCTGACGAGCTGATTTTTTAAAGTATCTTTTTTCTTCACCAGGTTTCAGCCCATTTATATAATATACCATTAAAAAAAATGCTAAAATAAGGAACAAAGGACAATACATGAGCTGAACAAATGCTAAAGGGAAGTTTCCAACTGGGCTAAGAGGAAAGAATGTCAAGGTCCTTTAACACACGTAAGTAGGGAGGGATCGCAGCACTGCTCTACATGACGCATAACTCTCCAGATAAATACTCAGACACACACTCAGAAGAGAAATAGTACACTTCCGTTCCTCAACTCATTGAAAGAATTGCTTACATTGCTTTCTGTTTACTAGAATTTTCACTGACTGACCTTTGTACATGCCTTGTACTTACAGCTTTTTCCCTCATTTGATGTGTAATGATCATGACTGGGTCTTCCAAATGAAGACAGGTAACTAATTCCTGCCCTAATCTAGCTGGAACCCATTCCCCTAAAAGGATAAAAAAAGAAAGGCTGATTTTACCTTGGCCTTTACAGAATAGCTGTATCTGCTGTGCAAGACACACATGGAAACTAGTTTGCAATTATAAAACCTCAAAAGAATGCCTAAAAACCCACCAACCTAGAGTATAAACCCAAAGAATTTACTGACTGACACAGGATAGCAGACTAAGAGCTGCAGTCAAGCTATATGGTCTCAGCAACATCAACTGAGCCTCCCGCTTCTTCCCACTGCCTTCAACTCTTTCCACTGTTCCTGCTGGCTAAGGGTGGCTCCTGCTCCAACACATCTGAGATGGTTTCACCTTCGTCCTCAAGCACTGGAAAGTGCTCCAGCACTTAACGGGAATACAAAACTATCACAATATACCCAATACAAACCTCTACTAAAAACAAACCCAAGAAAACGCACCCTCCCAAATTTCAAACTGCATAGCAACAATTATACATAGTCACATCATTAAATAATCCCATTTTAGAGCATTAAACAATTAAAAATACATCTCTGACAGTTATGTTAAGTTTAAAAAGTAAAAAAAAAAGTGATCATACCTCTGCATTTGACGAATTTTCCCACAGGACCAGATTATATTTAAAACGTAGATGAGCTATCCACATTTTTCGGACTGCATTTGCTTCTGGAGGGGAAACCTTAATTTTTATGATTCCATTTGTAGACTGCAACTCTATTCCTGGGGGACCAATCTGAGCTGTAAATATCAAAAGAAAAAAAAAAAAAGGTCCAGCATGACTATTTAAAGAAGAAACACCAAAAGAGTAATTTACATTAATAGAACCACAGTAGCTGCCTATAGTATCTTACATTTAATTCTTCTGAGGCTGTAACAAGATCACAGTAATTGCCTGTAGGATCTTATTTTTCATGAAGCACAGGCAGTACCCAATAGAAATCTAACCTAACAAACAACAACCATTACCTGGTACTAAAACCAGCAGAATTAAAATGCAATATTACTAGTGAATATTTTCCAGAATCCGTAGTCAAAAATCAGTATGTTATTCTAAAGCATGCAAGGCAAGAAACGTAGCTCAAACAAATCAATCCAACACTGAGGGCAAAGCTTCCATACCATGCTAAGTCACAAGGTCAGAAGAGAATTTCCACAAAGTCCACTATCAAAAAGGATTTTTCTGAAATCTAGAAAAATACAGTGACAGAAAACAGCAGCACTGTTTTTCAGAGATTCAGAGAGAACCATAACATTTCATGACCTGCAAATACCTTATGTTAAGGTTGAGAAAACCACTAGCTCATGTCATTCCGAGCAGTGGAAGCCACACACATTTTCTCCACAATACTGTGCTGAAGGACATTTTTAGCTAAATGTTACAGTATATGTGGAGCTCATACCTATAAAGTATGGAATCATTTCAAAAATGTCAGACCATGGAGACACTTCTTTCCTTCTTTCAGCCCTCACACGCACGTGATGCATATCGTAGTATTCAGTTACTGCTGAGGAAAAGTCACATTCCGTGCCAGTAACATTTTGACACCCAGGCAACTCATTCCATTCTGTTTCCACTGTCTCAAAATCTTCAGACCTGTAAGAAATAAACATCCCCAAAACAAAACCAATACACAATTTAAGTATTGAGATCTTTTCCTTTTCTCCTAATGCTAATAAATGTCACACCTTTTAATGCTGTTCTATCACCACTACCAGTGTAATCAGTGTCACCTACTTAGTTACCCTGGAATTCATATTGCCATTTAATTCTCTAATTTAATCTATTAATTTAGCATTATTACCACAGGTTAACTATCAGTCTGCATACCAGTCTGCATATCAGTCTGATACCAGTTTGCTTTATTCACCATGTAAACACAGAGTGTCAGAAAACAGCATCAAAACCTCTCAAAAATCCAGAATTATATCCTTAGAACATGATCCTAGTCTAGCAATGATTTTATAATTCATTGGAAGAAATTTACAAGTCTTCATAGCAAGAAGTCCTTAGAAAAGCATAAAAGCAGCAAAAAAAAAAAAAGAGCCCCAATGCTAACAGTAGCAAGGAATGCACGTTAGGGGAAGAGAAAAACACAAAGGAGAAAACTGGAGTGTTGGAATTATTAGCTTTACAGAAGCTATTTTTTGGGGAGTTAAGAGACAACCATTCCTTATTTAAGAAAAAGACATTTCATATAAAGACTAAAAATGTCCTGACCATAAAAAAAGCAGCACAGACTTGAAGTAGTAATTGTTTATCCTCAACTTCTCAGACCAGAGTTACATTTTTTAAAAATAAAACTATTTTCAAAGCAGTTGCTTTTCATCTACACATTGAAGGCAGCAAGCTATTTTTTTTAAATCCAAAATCATACACCACGAAACCCTAAAAATCAAGAACTTAAGTGATTTTATCTTAGAAGGTTTTTTTATGTTTACTTGTCAAAGTGCCACAAAATACCAAATGTATATGTATATGCACACATAAGTATTGGTATACGAAACAGTTGAAGAAAACAGAATAAATAAATCCAAATACTACATTGTTAAGTGTACAAGTTAACCTCCTCAAAGAACCACTCTAGTAGCATTACTACCAAGTGTGTTCTGCATTTATAACACATTACTGTCAGTGAACAATGTAATTTACATTTATTTAATGTACATCTGAATTAGACCAACCAAGGACAACACTAGGATTCCACTTCATTTCAATACTTAATCTTCCTGGCCTTCAAAAAGTCTCTACAAGTTTTACATAGCAGTATCAAGAAGTATAGTAATTAATCAATACTCTTTTCTACACAAATAAGCGTCAGGCATTTGTGGCTCAGAATAAAGTTACTGCTTACCACCGGTATTCTGCTGAAAATGCCACATTGCTATCATTCCCAGTGTAGTTCCACCTTAGAGTGAAATTTGTATTTACAACATAGACCTGAATATCCCATGGAGTCTTCAGAGTAGTTTGGCCTACAAGAAAGCAACATAAAGGTATATAAAGATCGGGATAAATAATTTGCATATAACTTAAGAATAACCCTAACTTATTTTTATTAAAAAAGGAGTGTTATAGTGAAATGAAATAATAAACTGAAGAGTTAAGAAAACCCCACGCTACTCAAACAGCACATCAATATGTATCTTGGGAGCTGTCCATCAGGTAAGCCCCTTTGCCTATTTGACTATGCAGGTCTGTGCTTAGAGTCTTTCTCCCCACTTCCCTTCAAAAAAGTATATACAGTTGTAACATTTGAGGCTTCTGTTCGCTGCCTTGGGTTGATTATAAGCAGCCTGAATCCATTTAAAACAGTATTTTATTGGCTGGACCCAACATCTGGATCTTAGCTGCAAAGTGCTAGGGATTGACGTAATGCTCTCATTTCACCGTTGCGGAACAGACTGAGCGTAGCAGACTCGTTTTACATCATGTGTTACTGCCATAAATTCAACTGATTGAACATAAATTCCTTTCAGTGAGACTTCACCACATAGCAGGATCTCGCACCTTGCTCTGGGTAACACCATGTTTTCTTTTACACAAAGAACAGTGCATAAAATGACTTACAGAAGGCAAGGGCTAAGCCTCAGGTCACGTGTAAGAGTGCCCATAACATGAGGGAAGGACCAGAGCATGAGAAGGGAAGGCTTAACAGGCCAGGAAGGAAGCATGCATGCATGCTAGAAGCATCTGCAGGATAGCTCTCTATCCTCTTGATTTTCCACCTTTAAAAATAATAATCAAAAAACCAAAACCCACCACCAAAAAAAACCAAAACACCAAAAACAAACAAACAAACAGCAAAAAACCCCCACCCCAAACGCAAACCCTGCCTCATAATTCCCTTACATTACACTTTTTAAAGAAGACTTCTTTACCACGAACTTTGAGATATGCAGAATCCTAGGTGCCCCATTCCGTATACAGTTCAGGTATCGAAGGACAGATGAAAGTAACAATGCTGCAGGAGAAGGAATTATTCTGATACTTACAAAAAAAGTTGGAATTTATCTGGCTATTTATAAGGCACATTGTGCTCTGAATTATTTCACACCAGCCTGTGGTACTGCTTCAAAGCAGTGAGGCTACAAAGGTACAAACAGGGCTGAAAGTCTGGTGTGAAAGTCTTCCACTCCTAGAAACTAAACCAGACTGTGGCTCAGAGAGCAAAGGGAACATGCTCAAACTGAGGAAACCTCAGGCAGGAGGCACTAAAATTATACCAAACCCACCAAATGGGCAGCCATACCCAGAATTACAGAGCTTAAACTTCATGTAAGTCCTGCTGCCGGGCATCTGGGGCAGCCCAGGCTATGTACAATTGAGGCAGCGCATCCCTCCGTCCTCTGAGATGAGAGCACACTTTTAACTTCCAACACATCGGGAGAGGGGGTGGGGTGGGGAGGAATCAACAAAAACCTCAAAACAGCAACAACAAAGAACCACCACACACCTCGAAGAAAACCACCACCAAAAACAACCCCACCACTCTGCCCTGACTTTCCATTTTAGCCAGCTGTGTGTTACGCTATTAATCACTTCCGAATGGCTACAACTCCTGGAAGCATCTTGGTGACCGTCGCTCTGAAACTGCTTTTTGATGTCAGCCTAATGCTAGATCGTAGTAAGAAGAAATCAGAACAAATGCATCCTACTGCACCTGGGCAATCAAAGCCTGTTTGCACATCTAACGGGTTACCCTGAATTTGATTTGAGAGTTGGGTGTCTCTCGCAAAAGCTATTTCATACTTTACACCATGACAGAGTTCTCCTTATACAAAGCAAACGTGCGTGGAAAAGCAATCTCTAAACTGGTCTGCAAGATCCTTCTGGAGAATAAAGTGGTATCCACCAGCTACGGACTTCTGGAAATAACTCCTGAAAGCACAAAACCTGAGAGGAAAATAAAAACCTGTGGAATCCTCTACAGAATTTATTGCCACCACGCACGAGTTTGTCGCTCTACTAAGGTAAGCCTGGAGAATGCCAAACTACGTTTTATCAGTGGAAAATAAAATGGCAAAGGAAATAAGTAATTTTTTTTTTCCCAGATATTTATCCAACAGATGGCTACAGTTCAGCCAAAAAGCTTATGATAACAAAGGCAGCTATTTCAAATTTTGGAAAAAGTAATAACAATTTTGAATATTTATATCCCTTCACAAAGAAAACACTAGCCTCATGGGAAAATATTATTTTCAATTTAAATGAGAATGTTTGCATTAAACTTAAGAATAAAAAAAACAGGAACAAAGAAGTTCCAGGAGCTTTTAATAACTAAAAAAAATAGGTGCACAACTCTGCCATTAGCATAGAAAGTATAAGCCTGTCAGAGCCACCTGAACAAAATAATGATTCATTTGAAGAATGCCACCACCCATGGTAATTGATAGATTGAATGGTATAACCTGGCTTAGTAAAATCCATTGCTTTATGGAAGATTATTTAATTACTGTGATACAGCACAGCACTTTCAATTTCAGTTCTAAAGAAACACTAAGACTGTCATCTTTCACATCTGAAGCGCAGGGTAGTGCTCTACCCTGTAAATACATGTATTCACATATTTGCAGAGACTTAAAAAAATATCTTTCAAACAATCTCTGCTTAAATATTCCCTTGTTAAATATCTTAATAAACACCGTGACAGAAACCCTGTTTCAAACCATCTTTCTGGAATGTAATTCAGCTGCTAACATTTGAATAGCCTCCTAAAGCAGACAGAAAGCGAGATACAGTTTTCCTCAATTCTCTAGCAGCACACATAGCAGGTTTAAAAACCTGCCGCGGCAGCACTAAACACAAGTCTTCACAACAGGAGATTCCCAAGGTAGATGCTGTACTCTGAACAGCACAGAGCCTTGGAGTAAGCCATAAGGAGGTAGAATTAGATAACATAGTATTAGCTGAGAACTACACTGCACCTACAGAGCTCCAACACTGATAAAAAAAAAGCTACTGCATGTAAAGACAATGATTTTTGTTGACTTTGGGTATGAAAATCAAATATTCACTGCAATTCCAGAGTATCTTTCCCACATTTTCAAATCCTTATTGATAGCATGAAGCTTTACGATAATTTGTATTAGACCTTTCCCTTTTGAGGTCAGATAGGAAAAAGGAAGTCTGGAAGCCAAAACAAAGTAATTTCAAGATTTTCGTTCTAAGATACACTTTCTCCCCAGGTTACAAAGAACATGCTGATGTAAGACATCCAACTAATGTCTTAAGCTAGGTCAGCTTTACCTAAAGCTGGTAAATAACCACAGCAAATAATCATATCCTCCCTTTAGATACAAACAATATTGTGAAAATACAATACTCTGGATTCTGGCATTTGGAAAAACACACCGTATTCCAGCCCTGGAGTAAAAGCACACACAATGAATTAGAAGGGATTTAATCCACAACAGCTTTGGTTAGAGGCCCAAAAGATGACTGTCAGAAGCCACAGATTTGACTGCCCCTTTCTCCAACAAACTCCTCGTGCAAATTTCAACAAGGCTGAACTCCATCTTGACATTTACCCTTTTTTTAATCCTCCTTACAAACTGCTGGAACTAGGCATTAAGATCTGTTTTCAGCAGCACACGATAGGCTTTACAGAACTTTAAACCGAAAATCCTATTCAGAGACATCACCTGTAAAATTAAAATCCACTACAGGGTTAAAAGTAACTAGGATCAGGCAAGATCCTATAGTTTTCAGGAAATTTTCAGAAAGTTGTTCAGCGTTATGTTCAACAACAATGTACAAGTGTGCACACTTGGGGTCAGTGATCAGCAGCAGTAAAAACAGGGAAAGAAGTCAGAAATTGATATGGAACTGAGTAAAACAGAAAGCTTAATGTCATTACATAAATTCATTACAGACTTACAGGAGCACCTCTGCTATGGGGACAGGCTGAGAGAGTCGGGCTTCTTCAGCCTGGAGAAGAGAAGGCTCCGGGGAGACCTTATAGCCCCTTCCAGTACCTGAAGGGGCTACAAGGAAGCTGGGGGAGACTTTTTACAAGGGCCTGTAGTGACAGGACAAGGGGGAATGGGTTTAAACTGAAAGTGGAGAGGTTTAGATTAGATATCAGGAAGAAATTCTTCCCGGAGAGGGTGGTGAGGCACTGGAACAGGTTGCCCAGAGAAGCTGTGGATGCCCCATCCCGTGAAGTGCTCAAGGCCAGGCTGGATGAGGCTTTGAGCAACCTGGTCTAGTGGAAGGTGTCCCTGCCCATGGCAGGGGGGTTGGAACTAGATGGTCTGTAAGGTCCCTTCCAACCCAAACCGTTCTGTGATTATCTTCAACCCTATGTGCAGCTCTAGAGTGCCCACTCTCACAAAGCAGATAGCAGAACAGAAAAAGGCAGAGAAGGGCAGCAAGGTATGAAGCAGCTTCTGTCCTGGGAGGAAGCAGGCTATGACCCTTCAGCCTGAACAGGAGACAGAGGGGAGGATCTACAGACACCTGATGAGTGGTATAGGGAACGCAAGTGTCAAAAGCCTGTTTGCTGTCTCTTTAATACAAAGTCAGAAGCATCAAAGCAAGCACCACTGTAAGCAAACAAATGCAACTGCTGCCTCCCCGTCTGCTTTAGTCAATCTGCGGAAATCCTTCCCCTAGGACTTTGAAGGCTCGACTCTTATCTGGCTTATGAACTCCCAGTCAGATACAAAGTCCCAACAGTATAGACTGCTGCAGCACTATGTAGGGTGGTGTCACCATACACTTCCTTCTTTATTCTTTCCTATTCCACTGCCAACTGCTGCTGTGGATGAACACTGGACTAGACAGCCTTTTGATTCACCTGGTATAAAACATAACCATAAAAAAAAAAAAAACCCAAACCTGAAAAAAACCACAACACTCTTTGTAGATGTCTCTTGAGCTTGATTAGATACTTTCACCCTGCCCTGGTAAGAAAACCAGATTACTACTTCAGAAGGATCTCCCAGTCCTGAAAGACAATTCTGAAAATTCAAACCATCTTCTGCAGGAAATCAAATTTCTTATCCAAATTCAAATAACTATTTATTGAAAGTTCCAGGTCACAATTATGCTCTTTCATCTGTTTACTCGATCTCCCGTTGCAGGTAGAAAGAGGGATATAATCAGAGAGCCAACTACAATTTTGTACTCTGAGGAATGTCTTTGGTTGAAATTTGTTAAAAGTTAACGAACACCAATTCACATTTTAACACTTACTAATCATTGATTCATACAACAGAAGCACACAGTCTGAGCTGGAAGAAACCTAACAAGATCACCAATTTTTCACACTGGAGAAAGCAGGTGGCCAATTCTACAGACATCAGACGTTTGTGTAGAGAAGTCCTGTGGTTTCCACCACCGCGTCATCTATTTTTACAGGCCTCCTGAAATACTTAGCTATCCTTAACATTAGAGAAAGCTTTCTGTAAATCAAAAGTAAAGAACTGCCAAACTAGATTTCCTAGTAGATTCTACTGGAGGTCTGCATCTTTGTAGAAGAGGTCCAAGTTTCCTTAGAGAAAGGACTCTTGCTTAGTTCACAGTCCAGGGACAACAGAGGGTTTACAGAACTGCAAAACCCAGGTTCCAGCCTCTGGTTAGCTCCTCCTATTTACTAATATGCAGATTTTAATGAGCTCACACTGCTCTACCATACAGATCATTAGCAGGTCCCCACTTGATACATCCTTTCCTCTTGATAGTAAACTGTAATTTTGATGAGCTGGAAAAATCATACTGAAGGAGTTTAACATAGCTTATTTTCTCTGGTGTGCTTAAGAGATTAGTATGCAGTGCAGATTCAAAAGCAATACTAAGCCAAAACACATGTCATCGGAGCGCCTATCTTTTATTTTTTATTTATTTTGATTTTAGAATAGCAGAAATTCAGGTTGATTTAAGATTACATTTATTCCTAATAATACAGACACACAT